TCTATTACTGTAATATCAAAAACTTGGAAGTTTGTTTGTGTTTATTAAATGTAAAAACACCTCATATTAGAACTGGCATTTCATATTTATCTCCAAAATCTAGCTGACTGGGCTACACTTAAGCAGTGAAAAAAATGCCGTTGGTTTGGAATATTTATGACAAAACACAGTAAATTGAAAATCCATTGTATTATATCATTGTAGTAAACTTCAAACTGAAAAAAAAAAAGAGATTAAAATATAGCAAGTGATTAAGAGAGTTGTGTTACGATACTATGAGTAACTAAAAATTAGGTCATATAGTCCCTATCTACATCCCTAATTCAAAATCAAATCAAGGTATATAGGATTCAATCTTTGTTTCACTTTTTTTCATTTTTCAACTATATAAAGCTCTAAATATTTTTACTTGCAGGCAATAGATGTTGTTGTTATTGTTGTTTGATTTGATCATTTGACTATCCAGACTAGTTAGAAATGTACTTTAGCAGTTATAATAACTCCTTTTAGATTCTCAGAAATAGAAACATTTCTTGTTTCTTTTTCTATTCTAAATTAATGAAGATGCAAAACATTATTAGTCGACCCTCTCTGAGGGGCAGGAAAGGAAAAACAAAGTAAAGCATGCATGTCTCGCTCAAAAAGGAAGTCTTGTATAGATTCTGATTTTTTTTTTCCTATTTATTAAAGGGAAAATTTCACATTAGAACAACTCGGTTCCCTACTTTTCAATTTTATAGCCCATATTTCAATTTACAACCAACTAGCCCAAAAATAATAGGCTAAGATTCAACATCCAACTCCAATAGGTTCTCAAAATTACTATTTAATTTTTAAAACATATTTCTCAAACTTTTAAATTAATTTTCAAATCAGTAATTTTGACTCAAATATTAGTTCAATAAACCAAATTCATTTGGGTGGTAAAAATTATATTTTTAACAAGCTTAAATATGTGGATTAAATTCCGAATTTGATTTTGTGAGAAATTTAGAGTGGGTGTTATTTAGACTTGTTAGAAATAGTATAAAGAGGTTGCATATAAAATGTGAAGTTATTTAATGGAGATTTGGACTGGTTTTTAACAAGAACTGCAACTGAAAATCGTGGAAGAAGTTCTTCTACAAACGCTTGTATAAATGTGTATAATAGTGTATAAGGTGTGTTTCTACACTCATATACAAGATTATACATAATTATACAAAAAACTGACTTCGTCTTCTTCCTTGCGTCTTTTCTGAAATTTAACTCAAATCTTGCTCAAATCTACTCCAAATAACTTCAAATTTAAATTTTGAACTCCTATTGATATTTACAATCAATTGGAACAACACCCAATCCAAACAACTAACAAATTCAAAAGAACCCATTTTCGAAAGCAAAGCTTTGAATGGTATTCAATGGTGGATTTCTACTCTTCAATTTTCTTACATTGCAACTAGGTGACACAAGAGGAGAAGCAAAAAATACACGGCCCCTTGAAGCATATGTAGAAGATGTGAGAAGAAGAGAGAGTGAAAGCAATGGTTGGGAGAATACAGATTTAACTCCATAGCTTTTAGAAGCAATGGTTGTAAGAACACAGATTTTGAATTTGCTAGTGCTTTCAAAATATGTACAATGTGGGCTAGGTCAGGTAAAACTTAAAAACATGGGTCATTTTTTGTTATGGTGTGAAGTCATGTGTATTTTCTTGTAATTTTTTCTTTATTAAATTAACCATGTTAGGCGCACATTTTAAGAATGGAATAACAAAAGGTGATTTGAACAAGCTATATACGGTTAAAATAGGGGTTGCCCGATTTTGCTATTTAATCGAGACTAGGAGATCACATCGAGGGTCAGCCTCGTAATGGATCAAGCTATAACACGAAGATGAGGTGTCGAGTTCAAGAATCGAGGTCCGTCGAGACCGAGGCCAGCAACAATCGAGATTGAGTATGACCGACTTCGAGTGAAGTACGATAACGGAAAGGCGAGATATCCGTAACCGGTCGAAGATCACGGTGAAAATCTCGGAACAGATCAAATCAAGGGCGGTTATTTGTAACAATCATGGGATTTACTTCCGTAATTAGAATTGTACCATAATTAGGATTACTCTAGTATGTAAGGGGAGTCCCCATCATTTGTAGATACCTTACATTCATACATATCAAAGCAATAAAATATTTCTCTTTTTCTGGTTTATCAACTTGTTGTTCTTTAATTGTTCTTACTTTACTAAGCTCGAGGGTTCATCAGCTCGAGGGCACCGTCCAGGCATTGGTTTGTTTTACATTCTTGTCAATTCCCATTACTTATCTTTAAGTTAAGCAATTGGTATTAGGTGAAATCATGTTTCTTTAAAACCATATTACAAGTTTAATTTTTTTTTTTATTAAACCAAACACCCAGGTTTTCATCCCCTGTGGTGCTGGGGGGTTTGGCATTGACCCCTACCTTGCTTATTCATTAAGCAAAATAGTACAAAGGAGGGGGACATAAACCAAAACCTCGGAGGAACTAAAATCTAAAATTGTTGATGGCTAGGCCTAAGATATTATAAAGAGCTACTTTGACAAGATTCAGTTCAGATTAGCAGTAGCTCTTTCTTAACAATTAAGGTGGTTCGAAGAACCATCCTGCATGTTTCCTTGGCCTAATTCTGAAATTTGGGACCAGTTGCCTATCCATACGGATGGCTTTCCTGGCTTGAATAGGAAGATCATTTTCGTTGAGGAAGATGGCCTGTTGCGTGATAGTAGTAGCATGTTTGGCTAGAGCATCGGCCACTTTGTTCCCTTCCCTCTAACAATGTTTAATCTTGATGTTATGTTGTTGCACCTTCTGTTGGATCCGAGTGACATCTTCTTTGAGTCTCCAAGGTGTGCTGTAAGTTCCTAGAATCATGTTGACAACTAGAAGAGAGTCTAGGTATNAAATTCCAGTTGATGATGTTAATCATTAGGAAAGGTTGGGGGTTTGTATGTTTCCTTGTTGTTGGAAGGTACTGGAGTTTTTTATTTGACCTCCTTTACCTTTGTGATTTCTTCTTTTGTTTCCCCTTGGCGATAGCCCTTGTTTTTGTATAACTTCCTCAGTTTCTTTTGCCACAGGATCATCAAATTGTTTTGGAGAGGGAGCAAAGGCTTCAAGTAAGCTGTCTGCTACTTGTTCATCTTCATCATCCTCACTTTCACCTCTAGAGTTTTCAGTTATCTCATCATCTGTGGAGGCCTCTTGAGAGTGGTTGCTGTCCATGTCCTCTCCTGATTCATAGATTGAGTTGTTGTCTATGTCCGGACCATGTTTGTTGTTCAGCTCCCCTTGAAGATGCTCAAGAGTCCCCATGTCAATAGTGATTTTTCCTCCTTTACTTTGAATGCAAGCTGTGTCTGCAGTAAAAGGAGACATAATCTGGTTGTTTGAATTAGCACTACTACTTTCCTGTTCTTTAGTTTTTCCTTCCTGTTGAGACTGTATTTCTTTTCCTTTGTCTGTTGTAACTTCTTTAAGTCTGCTCATAGTTTGTATTTTCCCTTCCTTTTGGACTGCCTCTATGATCTTGTCCTCTATTTGCCGTGATTTCTGTTTGACCCAAAGTCTGTTTTTAACTTTCAGACTTTGGGTATTCACCTTGTTAGTCTTTCTTCTTTTTGTGCCTGCCACTATTTATGTTTGGGTTGATTTCTCTCGCTTGAATGGTTGTGTCGTTTTGCTTTCCTTCCACATTGTCTTTGATAGGTTTGATCGCTTGAGTGTTGCTGTTTTGGAAGGTTGTCTGATCTTGTTTAGGTTTTGCTTGGTTCATTGTGTTTTGTTGGGCTTTGTCATTGTTGGTGTTGGAGTTTCCTGCCTGAAAGGTCTTCTTTTTCCTGTTCCTTTTGTTTCTCACCTGAATGAAACCATCATCTTTTTGGTTCTCAATGTGTGTCTGTGCCCCATCAGTGTTTGCTTTCAATTCTGCTTCCCCAGGTATGTTAGCCTTTGGTTGCTCCTCTCTTATCTCTGTTTTTTCATTATCCCTGTTGGTTTTAGCTTGCTCTTTCTTCCTGGCCTCAACCTTACACCTTTCCACATCATGTCCTTGCAATTTGCAAGTTCTACAGAAGGCTGGTACACCTTCATACTCTAATTTTTGATCTCTGCCCTTCAGCCCTGTTGTATCGCCTTCAATGCCTACAAAAACAGCATCTGGGAGAGACTTCATTAAGTCTACTTCAACCCTGACCTTTGCCATGTGAGGTCTGGTTCGAGAGACAGTAGCAATGTCCTCTTTCATAGGTGTGCCAATTTGTTCCAAAACTTGCCGCAAGTAATCCCATTTGAACATATGAAAGGGCAGTTCTGGTAGTAACACCCAGATGGGGGCCAAGGAGGTCTCCTCATTAGGATCGAAATCAGGGGACCATTTGAACATCCGCATTAGAGCCCTAGATATACTCATAAATCGTTGAAAGTAGGCAGTATTGAAGTCTGCTTCAGTGTTAAATTCAATGAAGACATGTCTATAATCATAAGCCCTAATTCTTACCTTTCCTTTCAAAGGGATTTGTTCAATGAATTTTGCCCTAATTATTTCAATTTTGGGTCTCCCCATTGTGAATTTACCCACCAGCGTCCATTTGCAATTTTCCGCCATTACCCCATAGTAGTCGGACGATTTGAAGATGACCGCTGGTCTGCCATTGTGAGTTGTTTGCCTTGCTACCACAGTGTTGATGTTGATTGCGTTGCCGGTGCTTGAGGTTCCAGCAACAGCGTTGGAGTAAGATGATTTAGATTCCGGTGGTAAGGCCACCGTTGGTCTTGACTCTTCAGGCGGGTCTTTTGGTTGAGTGATACGCGCCGGTTGACCGGCCGGGAGTGAAGCCATCAGAGATCGCGTGAAGTCACGCGGTTACCGTTGGAGTTACCGTTTGTTATCCAGTTTTTAGGGTAAACACAAGCAAACTAAGTAAAGTACAAGAACATATGGTTTTCTCAAGAAACTTGAGAGAATGGTCAGATCTAATGTTTTAAGCAACTGTTCCCTCTTTTTCTAGCTTAATGGTTTTTTTAGGCCCAAATCTGCGCCTGTTGTTGTCAATCCAATTCTTCAAGAAATAGGGAGTGATTCCAATCTCAGCACAAAAGGGTTTCACTTCTTTATTGTACTTTGTCCACCTCCACCCTATCTTCTCTGCAAAAGCCTTCACTCTTTCCTTTTGCTCTGAGTTAATCCTCTTTCTTTTGGTGCTCATCTGCTCAGCTACTTCTATCTCTCTTCCGCCCATCTCCGTCGCCGTCTCCGCTCGCTGTGGTGGGGTGGCAGCAACGTTGTTGTTCTTGTCGTACTTTTGACGAGGATGAATTCTTGACTGTTGTTGATATGTTGGGGTTGGTGGAACAACGATGACAAGGGAAGTACCTGATTGAAGAAATAATTAATTAAACAAAAGTATAGGTTCTTTTTTTTTTTTTTTAATTTCTAGACAAGATAGTCGCATGATTTTAACATAATCGAGCAACTATCTTGAGATCTAATTGGGTTTGAGTGTCTTCACCACCCATTTTTAAGAAGAGTGTTCATGTACGCTTGACTCATGACGGGGAAGCAAGTAACTATTGAAAATGATATTTGAAAATTAGAGTGTTGTTTGGACATAAATATAATTTTGGGTTGTTTTGAATTTTTGTGAGTGATATGAGTGAAAATTATAAAAAATTGCTTTTTGGAGTTTTTCAAATTTTCAAAAAATTTCAAAATTCATCTTTAAGTGAAAATTGAAAATTTTATAGCCAAATGCTGATTTCGAAAAAAAGTAAAAATAATAATTTATGAGAGCCCGTTTGGAAAAGATCATACGATACGATAAATCAGTTCTAACATGTGTTTTATGCAAATCTGATTTTTTTTCATGAGTCAATAATTTGTTTCAAAATGGTTATACTTGAATCCAATTAGATCTCTAGCTAGCTATTCTGATACTAAATTAAAATTATATGTCTATCTCATCTAAAAATTTAAACAAAAAAAAGAAGAAGAAGATATAAATACTTTATTAGTCACCTGTTTTTAGTTTAGTGAGCTAAATTTGTCTCCCAAAAAAAAAAAAATCATATAACTATACCTTTAAACGGAAAATTTAGTCTTTGACTATAAATTGGGGTACATAATTTAAAGAGTAGCCTCAAGAAAAGGGCTGTTGTTCAAGTGTCCGGCTTATAATGAAATAAATAAAAATGTGTTATCTCGAAATATTTAGATTGTTAGATGTGATGATCATACCACGGTTATGGTGACTATTAGAGAGGATAGAAAGCTCCACCTCAGTCTCTACCTCTACCTCCACCTCCATTTTTCTATGGAAGTTTCGATGGCAATTGCAAGCTGCGCAGATCAAAGACTCAGGGATTCCATTTGGACAAAACTCACCACAACCATCAAGTGCATAGCCCATCGTACTTGCTGCATAATTATGCATGCACTCACCATACTTCACAAGAAAGTGTTTGTTGCTTGAAGCCATCAAATTAAAGGAGGATATACAGTGAGAGAAGTACTGAAGATATATAGGATATATATAGCGGTGAGGTTGAAGAGGGGAAAGTGAGTGTCGATAATATAAAGAGTGAAACAAGGAGAGAGGTGTCTGCTTATTATGGCTGCATGCCTATTTGGGGTTTACTACAACATTAATTGCCATATGGAATTTATTTATAAATACATTGACTTGGATTTTGTATATATTTGGACTTGTTGAAGCCTAACGTGTGATGTCAAAAAAAAAAAGTTGAATTCCAGAAATTTCCATTTACGTGGTCTTTCTGTATTATTATCAGCTGGTTTTATAGCTTTCCTTGCCAGATAGAGATCGAGGAAGGGAAAAAAAAAATTGAAGGAGGAAACAGAAGGAAAAAACATTGAATATTAGGGCAGTGATAGTATTGCCACATGAGAAGTTCAATCGTCGGAAAGTTATAAGCGCATAGGGAAACAAGTTTCGAATATCATTGACATTATAGAAAAGTACATGTTCAAATCTAAGTGTGGTATTTATTATTAGGTGTTTGTCCAGATTTTTTTACCATAATTGGTTTTCCTATCTCATGAAGGAAGGACAACATATTTACCATAATTGGGTTTTTCTTTGAGTTAATACCTTAAAATCCCCCTAAACTGTCAAGTTTTTGTCAGTTTCCTACTTAAACTATTCAGTGTCCCCAAAATCCCCCTAAACTATATTGTCCTTCATATTAAGAACCCCCCATTGCATTCTTAGAGGTGCGTCTAGTACACATTCCTAATTGTCTAAAAAAAGTGCTATGTAGCACTACACGTGGCTATTTAACTCAACCTGAAACCCGCCTAAACTATCATTTTTTTGTCAGTTACCTACTTAAACTATCCGGTGTCCCCAAAATTCCCCTGAACTATATTCCCCTATATAATAAAACCCCATGTTGGACTTTTAAAGCTACGTCTGTGTAACTATATTAACTTATGATTTGTACAAAGTTCTTATATAGTTTACTCATGATGTATTACTCTCGAATGATTGATTAATTCTAGGAGTTTTAGCCAAAATAATATCTAATGTACTGTGTAAATTTTAGGTTTAATTGTGATTGTGCTTTATGCTAGACTCCAATTGATAAGTCCTTATTTTCACTTTGTACCACAGTTAAAATATAAATAAAGACATATAGTGTTGTATTTTTTAAAAGTCATCTTATGTTAAATAAAAAAGATTACACAAAATAAAATTTCAAATAAAAAATCAATTGCCCAACAATTACATTCTCTAATTCCATATTACAAAAAGAAGGTTTAAGAGATTCAACTTTATTCTTTACAAGGTGTTGAGTTTAATAAGAAGATTTAAATTTGTATTCTTTCAACAATATGTGTAAGACATGAAAGGAGACTAAAACAAGAAAGAGAATAAATAATTTAGAGGAAACAAGAGAGGGAGAAATTTTTTCAGAGAAAACCCATATGGAGAACTGAAGAAAAAAGGTTAAAAAATAAATAAGAAAGTGAAAAACAAAGAAGAAAGGTGAAAAAAAAAGGAAGAATGGTGAAAAAATAAGGAAGAATGGTGAAAAATGAGGAAGAAAGATGGATATAACTGAAGTAAGGAGAATATTTATTAAAAAAATAAATTTGAAAGAGGGCTATGCTAATTAACCATTATTTTCTGTTATGTAGGCCATTTTGATGGCTTTTTTCAGCTACCACGCGCTCTCTAGCGAGTATCTACACATGTTATGCCAGGTCAGCGATGAGGGGGTTTTGATACGAGTGGCGATATAGTTCAAGGGGGTTTTGAGGACACCGAATAGTTTAAGAAGGAAACTGACAAAAATGTCATAGTTTAAGGGGGTTTTAGGGTATTAACTCTTTTTCTTTTCCTAGAAACAAAATATAATTCTTCCATATTTGGCTAGTCCCTTTTCTTGTAGGAAAAGTTTTGGAGTTCTATAAATTGAAGATCCGTCCTTCTCATTCAGTAGCATCCACAATGTAGCCATATGGGGTTGGGAGTCGTGTTTAGGGGAGAAGTATCAGTGTGTTCACTTGTGTTTGCCTCTTCGTGAGGTTGTTCTCTCGATATCTTTGTACTCTCTTTTATTATAGTGGATTTTTTATCTCCGCTGTGGACGTAGGTCAGTTCCGAACCACGTTATATGTTTGTGTCTCTTTTGGTATATTTCTCTTTTGTTGTCGGACTTATCGTCGTTCAAGGTTTGCTTTACTAGCTTCCACATGACACCTGACTTTTTTCGGTCCTAACATTTATTTATATATTTTAATTTTAATTCTTCTTGTCAGAATTTCTGTCCCTGTCATTGAGAATAAGGATAAGTGATAACAACAACAACAACAAACTACCCAGTATAATCTCACAAGTAGGGCATGGGGAGGGTAGTATGTACGCACACCTTACCCTACCTGGCGAGGTAGAGAGGCTGTTTCCAATAGACCCTTAGCTCAAGAAAAGGTGAAAAGAGAGAGGAAGAAGACGAAGAACAAAGAGGAAGAAGAAAGAAAGAATAGGGGGACAAAGGACGATAACGAAAAGGGGAGAAAGACAACTATAGTAACAACAATAACAACAACAACGAAACCAGTAAAAGAAAATAGCATCGAACAGTAAAAGATTGGAACATACGATACACAGAGCGGACGAAAAAAAATAAGGGAGCTACTAATACTACTAACAAAAACGGAACTCTTAACTACCTACTGGCCAACTACCCTAAAAGAATAAGTAATAAAATGTTACGAATAATTAAAGTAGGTAGAAAGAAAAGAAAAGAAACCAAAAAGGCAAAAGCAATGAAGTCTCACAATCACCCAAATTAAGCGATTATTGTTCAACCAGAAAATTATTCTCCACAACCCC